TAGAAGAATGATTGAGGATGTGTGAAAAAGAGTAGATGTGAAGGACCCGATGAGAGGCTGTTGCCGTGATCCACTTGAGAGAGATGGCTTGGATCAGGTAGTAGTGACACTATTAGAGGTGAAAAGAAGGTGACGATTTCAGAGTTGTTTGGAATGTGTGGGGACATATATGGGAGGACATAGTGATGAACTGGTTTTGTGGACTGAGGTAGAGGGAGTAGTTAAGGATAAGTCCCGGGTTTCTGGATCATGTGAGTGGTGGGTGCTATTCACTGAGATAAAGGACAATATAAAACGTGTTGCAGCATTGGTTTGCAAGACAAGATAAAAATTAAAACTGTTAAGGAAGGAGGTGATTTTAATTTATCATAGTGGAGTACTGGATATTTAGATCTGGGACTGAAGGAACGACCTGAGTTAGATTTAATTTTATGAGTCATCATTTATAAGTAACTGGTTTTTGATGATACACAGATAGATGAGATCATCTAGGACATAGGATTGAGCCTTGAAGGTTCTCCAGCAGTTAATTTTCAGGAGAGGGGAAGATGAAGCCAATGAAAACAGAGATGGTACAACTAGACAGTAGAGATAAATATATTGTCATGGAATATAAGGAAAGAAATGAGGAATAAATGACTAATAGCAAATCATAGGAAGCATGATAGGCTAAAAATACTTGACTAGCAATGAATATTGAAAAAAGAAAATAATTTAGTTATAACTGAAGGTAGACTAGTAACTGAAGATGGAGAATGCCAAATTGAGTGTTCCTAAAGTTTTCTTGATTTTTAAAGGAAATGAGTACTAGAATTTGAAAACTTCCCAGGAAAGTTGAAGAAAACTGACCCGATAAGAGTTGATAGCACTATCAAATTATAAACAACAGGAGGCAGCGGCCTTACTTGTCTTAGATTGCATTTTAGATCATCTGGTTCGTAATGGACATGTTATAAATGCAGTTACTACTGGAATAGGAAATATTGTGGAACAAATTAGTCCAGCCACCCCTTTGGCTCTATTTCTGTTTGGCTCCTTGGTCCACCTTGCTCCTCTGTAATGGGATGATATGGCCATATTGTTGATGTTGCTGATGTATTTATTCTGAACTCTAACCCTTTAGAATACATACATTATCTAGATGATATAAGCCATAGAAGAACATTGTGTCAAATGGGACAGGCTGGGTTATGCTGTGGTTACTAACAACCCCCAAATCTCAGTGGTTTAAGTAAAATAGGGTTTATTTATTTACTTTTTTGCTCAAATACATGTCCATCGGGGTTGAAGGGGCCTTTGGGCACCACTGATCACTCAGAAATCCAGACTGGCAGAGTAGTCTCCATCTTCAGTGTTACTGGCTGCTCTGCTGAGGAGAAAAGACCACTCTGAAGGGTTTCACACTGCAGCTCTGCACATGGGGATGACTCATTGTCTGTTATTAGTCACATCCCCTCCACCACTCTCCCCAACCCTAAGGAGACCAGGAAGTGCAGTGTCACCTTGTGCCCACAGGCCGGAAGAACTGTCTTTTTTGTGGTAATTCAATGATGTTCCTCAAGCATGGATACTCTAATTCTGTGAGCTTAGCTGAAAATTAGTACTTTCATTTTTAGTGCTTTTGGAATCCTTGAGTACTTTGTTTTAAATTAAAGATGTAAATTTCAGTTCCAAAACAATATATCTGGGGAAAAATGGCTTCTCTAAACATGCCATCTAAATGCAAAACAAAACAGAAACAGAGCAACCCAAGACTGTGATAGAGAATAGAGAGTTTGCATTATGACTTTATACTATTTGTGTTTCCATGCTCTGGGTCAACATGTATTTTGCTTTTCCCAAAAACAGAATCTTTGGACTCCATATCAGTTAACATTTCTTAGGAATGCTTTGCATCATAGATGTTACACTTTTATTTTAGGTTCTAAATATTTAAAATATTTTTAATTTAAATTCTGAAGTAGATTAAATTACATGGAAATTTGCTTCCAAGGAAACTCATCCTGTCTTGAGGCATCCCAGAATAACATGGTCAAACAGAAATCTTGATTTGAAGCCCTTTCCTTCTCAGGTGTGTTGTTTTCAGTAGAAGATCCCCCATCCACAGAAGCCACCCTTAGTCCTCCTTTTCTCTTGTCTTTCCCAGTCCTGAGCCCCATCAGAGAGGGTCTCCAAAATATGTCCCAAATCCACCCACTCATCTCCACCTTCAAACACCTGAATTCAAACCATCTTTTCCTTTAATTACTACAGTAACTTCATAACTGATTTCCCCAAAATGCTTTTACTCTTAACACTTATTTGTCTATTTTCCACAACATTTGGTAAACTTTTAAAGCTACAAATTGGTTAATGCCCCTCCCCTGCTTACAACTTTACAATGGCTTTCTCTTGCACTCAGAATTAAAACTTAATTTTATTTTTTTTTAAAGATTTTGTTGGGGAATTGGGAGAGGGGAACAGTGTTGGGGAATTGGGGAAGAGGAACAGACAAGATGCTGTCCTTTGATTCTTCAGTGTAGTTGTGGAGGACGTCGCTTCACTGGCCCATGTTGGTATTGTGATCATTGCGCTCCTCCTGGGTGAGGCAGTCGCTCGCCAACCATTGGACGGCCACTCACAGTGGCTCACAGCAGCTCACGCCGGCTGCCGGCCACTCATGGTAACTCACGGCAGCCCACTGCAGCCCCACTGCAGCCTGTGCCATTGCTGGCGACTCACAGCAGCCCAGCTCCAGGTCGAGCTGTTGTTCACCACCTTAGCTGTATAGGACGCAGCGTCACTGGCCCATGTGGGATCCGAACTGGCGGCCCTGCTGCTCAGAGCTCGCGCTCCCAAGCCAACTCTTAACCAACAAGCCACTCGGCTGGCCTTAAAACTAAATTTAAGTTTTCACGTGATCTGACCTCTAACTAATTCTCTGAATCTAGGCTAATGCTGCTTTAGATACATTGTTCTTGTTTTTTCTTTTCTTTCCTTCTCTCCTTCTCTCCTTCTCTCCTTCTCTCCTTCTCTCCTTCCCTCCTTCCTTCCTTCCTTCCTTCCTTCCTTCCTTCTTCCCTCCCTCCCTCCTTCTCTTTCTCCCCCCCCTCCTCCTATGCCTTCTTCTTCTTCTTCTTAATAATAATAGTTTATTGGGGGTGACAATTGTTAGCAAAGTTACATAGGTTTCAGGTGTACAATTCTGTAATACATCATCTATATATCACATTGTGTGTTCACCACCCAGAGT